GGGGGGGACACGGACCTGGAATCTGCATTACGGACATATTCCCCGGAGATGTTGATGCTGCCTGTAGGAATCCCACTGTGGGAACCTTTTCTGCCTACAGAGCATCTGTCTGTCTCCCCCCACCCCACATACACACACACCCAGCTCTAGATCCCTCCATCCCAGGAGAGCAGTGGACCAGAAAGCACCAGCACTTTAACAAGAGCTTCCCCCAAGCTCCCTTTTGCAAATGCTACAGGCACCTCCTGCAGTGAGAGGAAAAAAAAAAAATTATGATCTCTGAAAATAGCTGACCTCCCATGCAAAATCTAATGGCCACTGGGAATGAAAGCCTGCAACAGTCAAGTTATTAAAGCAAGCAACTATCTAAACAGCAAACCAAGGTTCCAAACATTTTGGAAATGGGGACTAGGTCTAATGTGGCTATGGAATTTGATATAGATGCTGCTATATTATTAATGTATTGAAGGATTTTTGCAAATCCTTGGAATGATGTGACATCTGCTCTCTTAGAGTTTCTTCTTAGAAGTGAAGTTGTGCAGAGTGCAACCTTTATGTAGAGAAAGATACTCTTGAAAAGCACGTGCAACAAAAACACAGCAATTAGGAGAATCCACACTGAGTCATCTAATCCAAGGTGGGCTCCGGGCAGGAAAATCAAGCCTTAAGGAACGAGAGCCCAGTGTCTCCTGCATGTCCACGTTAGAGGGAGCTTTTCTCTCTGTGGACTATCACCAGCACGAAGTCACCACGAGAAATCAGTCCCTTTCATCCCCTTCCTCCTTGCCAGCTCATCAGAAATTTGAAAGGGCTCAGAGCCTGGTAGCACCATAGATCTGTTAGAGTCAGAGTCAGAGAAGATGACATTTTCCCCTTTAGTTCACATCCCTGAATAGGTGACTCTTGCAAAATATAATAAAAGTGTGGTTTCGTAATCCACAGCCACCATCTCTTGCAAAGGGAACAAATAATGTAAGAAAACTGGGTCAAAGGAACCCAGCTTGAGGTGCATCCAGCGAAAGGCAGGTTGGTGATGGTCTTGAGATGCTAAGCAAAACTTACTGACAAGATGGAAAGTCCTAAGTCACTTTAGTAAAATCTTCATTTTGCAGTCAAATTACTGTGCTGGTACTTAGAAATCTAAGTACAAGGAAAGTTCTATCACAAATATACCTCTAGAAACTGATGAAGATACATAGAAACCAAGAGCAAAAATATGAAAATCGCATTACAGAAACTCCACTAACCTCTCTCCTTCCCTACTGTACAAGGCAAGGCAATAATCGAAACAAAGTTGTGAGGTATAGTTCAAAGAGTGGTGTTTCTACAATGCTTAGCACTCCAGGCCTCTCACTCTGGTTCAGGCATTCACAAAAAGAGGATCTTGGGAAAACTGTTTCCCAATATGCAGAGAGTGTAAACTTCTGCAGACAACAGAAATAAATGTGGGCTACATGTGGTTCTCTGAACACACCTGTCTACCTCGCACACAGAATGCAACACTGGGAAGTAACACCTAGCAAATAGGACGAGACCAGACTTCCAAGATCAAAGGCGTATCCGAGTCAGTAGCCGGAGAGTCGCTGTAGACTCCGGAGCAATGGAACAACTTCTCCAAGACAGGCTCTGAAGATGGCGGTCCTTTTGTGATGTGAGAAACTGCTGGTCCCTGGCTTTTTCTTTCAGAATATGCTGTTCTCTCTCTCCCTACTTTCCTCCATCCTCTGCTTCCCCACCCCCTCGCTCATTGCAACAGACCCCTGGTAAATAAAGACTGCAGCCTTCAAGATTTGGGTTTGAAGAGTGTGGGTTCTCCTTGGATGGAATTCTAGCTCTTCTCTCTGCTGCACTCAAAGAGCCTCTCCAGGTCCCTAGGATTCCAGCCAGAAACTGGAGAAAAACTCCATGATCATGGGAGACAGAACTGGTGACAGAAAGTGAAAAGTCTGGTGCCATTCCCTGGAAACTTACACCCAGCCACCTGTCTTACCTACTGATCATTAACAGGTGAAGATTTGAAATCACGACCTCACGGACATGATCAGAAAATGCCGGTGCAGTGACTACTACAGAGATGGGGGATAAATGGCATTTCTGTTGTGTACAAATGAAGGCCACCAAAGCGATCCTAAGTTAGGCCATACTTTCTGCCCCTAAAACTCTCCATGGTGTTGTAAGGGTTCCTCAGATTCTTAAAAGCTTCTGGAATCTTCTATCAGAGTCTAGGACTAGCACTGTAATTTGCAACAGGGAGTAAGATAATGAAGCAGAGATAAAGAGTCTTGGCAACCTTCCTCTGATAAACAATCTGAACTATCTTCCATATCTCTGTTCAACTTCTAAGCTACAGATAAGGCTGCTTGGTTACTTGGCACGAATAGTTGCCATCACTAAGCCTGTAATGCCTGTGTATTATGCTTTAGTGAATTATACTAGCTAAAATAAAGAGTAAAGAAATAGATTTACTACATCAATACACTGGAATTGCAGAAATGGCTTAAAGGGGAAAGTGAAGTTTGATCATTATAGTTCAAGGAAAGGATAAGTACAATTCATCTCTTCACCAAATGCTTAAAGAAAAGGACTGAATTCACTAGTCAACTAAATCTGGTGTGCTTTTTACTCTCGCCCCCTACAGTCACCAGGTAAATAGATTTCCCACAAAGGCTGTAAGACAGTGCAATTTTAGTATAGATCCAGCAGGTGGCGACACTAGATCAACAAATCCATTCATGGGGGGGAGCGTGGGCGGATCCGGAAAAGGAAACGCAAATCAGCCTGTTTATTAATACTGAATTATCATTACGTCCAGAGTCTGTAATTTTTATATTAAAATCAATCTTTTCCTGTAACAGCCACTATTAAGTTGAGCAAATTTGAGGAAAGGTCAGAGGCAGCAAAGCAATTTGTGTCCACAGTACTCAACAATTACCCACAGTAATTGTCAGAGTCCTGGACAAGGAGGACCACGGAGAAGTCTTCCCTTTCAAACCCGCGCGGCAGCCTCACAGCAGAACCGGCTTGCCCAGCTGTCGCAAGGGCAGCCGTACTCACCACTTGTAGTCCCCTATCACGCTGATGGTGTTGTAGGCGTCCGCAGCCCAGGTGATGGGCCGCTGGTTGAGAACCTGGCGGAGGGTGAAGCGATGCTCTCCGGGATCTTCAATGTTCATGAAGTATTCAAATACTCCAGTCTGATCGGCAAAGTTCGGGGCTTCGCTAAAATATGGGTACTCTGTTCAAAAACACATTGCATTCTCTGTTTAGCATCAAATCCTTATAGACTCTCCTCTCTGATATTTTATGGTATATTTGGAAACACCAAAGTTTAGGACGTCGGCCTAAATGTATCAGGCAGTTTCCAGTGACAAACTCATTTCTGTTTCCAACAAAGGAAAAACCAGCTGTGACCCAAGCTGTCCATCAATTTCTCTCTGTTGTTTTAAACTAAACTACCATCTGAAAATGAGGAAGCCCACAGAAGAGCAATTTTCACCGCAGTATCTTACAATTTTACACTTCATGTTTTTCCAGTGTTTTCACAGACACGACATCATTTGAAATATTAAAAGCCCCATTAAAGTTGTTTTAAAGCTTGGTCAACAGTTTTTCACTTCAGCTGTTAATTTTATTCTGTAGTCAATAAAGCATTGTATTTAGATTTAAAAGGTCTAGAACTGCCTTTCTGCCCTGGGCATCCCAAGATAGTGTGTCCTGGGGGTGTGGTGTACTTGTCTCCTGAAGGAGGCCCCACCATCCAGACTCCTCACCCACTGAATCAAGAGAAGTGACCTTTGCCCACTGAGCTGGCTGACATGGTTGTGGTAGGCAAAATTAATTTGGATTCACATAAAAATCTTTTCAGAGAGCTGCAGGAAAACAAAACTCCCCAGACGGTCCCAGCTGTCCATGATTTCCAAATAATTGAGAGGACGACAGAATCCAGTCTAAAGGGCCTCGAATGTCAATCAACCAGGAATCATTTCGTGGGAAAAGAAGCTGAGCCCTTGGGGCCTGGGGGTGTAGGGGTCGCTGTGGGAGGAACAACCCTGTGGCAGCAGAAGCCCCCTCACAAGTCAGTCTCCCTCCCGACATCTCTGCAGCTACAGGTTCCAGAAGCAGAGAGCAGAGGCGCCTGACTGGTCTGTGAGGGCCCCCACGTCTCCAGCAGCCATTAGACCGTGGCTGTCACTTCCCGAGCGATTTAGGAATGTAGCTACAAAGACCTTGTCTTCTAACCGTTCAGTCTCCCTAAACTATGGTGACTGTAAGACAGACCTTCCTAGAAAACCAGAAGAGATCAAATATAAAACACCCAGGCCCAGCTACAGGGTAAGTAGTGGGTAGACTGACCAGATAGGGCAACTCCCCATGGACCCTCAGCCCCCTGATGTTGCAGAAGGCGATATTAGCCTTAGCGTCCTCATAGAGAGAGCTATCAGAAAAGGCTTTGTGAGAAAGAGCTAATGGACAGGCGCAGGGCTACAAATCTAAAGTTATTCCAACAAGTTAGAATTAGAGCTCTCACTCTGACAGTGACTCCGCTGCTTTTTTTCTGGCAATAAAAAAATAGTCTTCAAATTGAGATTTTCCTGCGATACCACAAAATAGGTCACCTTCACCATGCAGAAATTCACAGGAAGTGCTTTGCCCGACCACTCCATCATGTGCCATTTGCCAAGCAGAACTCGGCCCACTGCTGCTAGAGGTGAAAACCAAGGTCGGCTTCAGTGAAAAGAACTTACCGACATCAAAGTCGTCCTCGTAGAATTGCGGGAAGGGCTTGGATCTGGGGGGTGGCGGGTAGCTGCCCTTGTTTCCAGTAGTGACAGTGGTGAGCGTGAACAGCTCATCCTCCTGCAGCTCCAGGGTGAAGTTGCCGTTGCTGTCGAGGGGCTGAAAAGGGAGGCAACACTGTACTAAAGCCAGGGGCTTCGGGTCCTCCCCTCTGGGCAAAACACCTTCGCTTAAAGTGAAGCCAAGTTCATTTCTATTAGAAGGCTCTGACAGAACACTTGCAAAGGGCACCCACGTGGAGGCCGCCTTCAGAATCTAAGATTTAAACCAATCATAAAATTAAAATTCATAGTAAGTATTGTTAAAATTCACTCCATGAAGAGAAGCAGGTGGTCCCCAGTCTATTTCTATCTATTCTTTTCCGTTTGACTATACATTCCTAAAGCTTGTGTGGACTCAGTACACGCAACTAAGAGATCTGCTTGTTTTTTAGGACACTTCCAAGGTAGAAGAGTCCATATAACTGGTTAACGTAGCAGTTAATCATAGAAATTCTACTTTTACTAAGGAAAGTCTTATTATATATTCAATAAATAATTCAATAAGCAAGTTAGGTTTATATTGCATTTATGATCATGACAATAGGATCTCTTTAAGTCACATTCTCCTCACCTACATAATGGGAGGGATATACAATTGTGGGACATTTGTGACAGTTAAAAGAAATGATGTGGGCCCTCCCTGGTGGCACAGCAGGTTAAAGCACAGCACTAAGAAGATAAAGCAACTTCAGCATGAGTTCGATCCCCACCCTGGAGGTGACCCACATGGCTGGCAGACCTCTCTTGACCTGCCTGCTGCTCCCCTTAGTCGGCCTGTTCTGCTCCCCACTCTGTCACTGGTGAAGCCTCTCACCACCCCTGAACCTCTGGTCTGTACCCCAACTCTGTATGCATAAACAAACACATCTTTTTTTAAAAATGATGTTTATATTGCTCATGTGCACATTCCTCAGGAAACATTCCCTGTAATATCACTGCTCTATGCTAAATGTTGAACGTGGAGACACTGGGATTCTTTGCACGATTAATGCAGGCATTAGACACACGACCACTTTATCAAATCTAAGTATGTAGTTTCAATTATGGGTCAGAGTTGTGAAATCTCTAACACCATATTCTCTCTCAAAAATAACCCCAATGATATCATGTCTCCAATGAAAAGTCCATTTCATTATATTATCTTTAGCAATCTGTGGTACAAAAACTAGATACTGTTCTTCCCTAAGAACTGAATATGAAAATGGATGTTCAATCACGGATAGTGACTAGGTGAATCTCAGAACATTAATGCTTACTACTTAATTTAAGTGAAGCAATGTGCTCACTTGGGCCAACTCATCCTTTGAAACATACCCTGAGAACCACCACGTGCTGGTCAGGCACGCTGGATGGAAATCCAAGCTGGGCGGGGCCCCCATCTCCAAGGTGTTCCACAGTGGAAAAGTGTGAACAAGGGAGGCACAAGGTCCTAAGTGACTATTGGCTACTACTGGGGGAAAGTTCCTCAGGAAGTGGTACTAGGATCTTGAAGAACCACAAAGCTATCAAGAGAAGGGACTCGAGAAGGAAGAAAACGCATGAGGAAAGTCACAGGGGTAAGCCAACCGGCAGGCTGTGCTGGGCTGAGCCTGGAGGCCAGGTGAGCGGGCCGTGCATCTAGACAGGAGAGCAGACTTTTACCTCATGAGGCGACAAGGGGGGTCGCGCTACACTGAGGCATGTGACCTTACGGGAGCCCCACGGGAGGCACCTGTACAAGGGACTGACAAGAGTCAGGGGTGCGTCTTAGAGACATCTGGCAGCACTGCCGGGTGGTCTGCAGATCTGACAGGGGGCAGAAAACACAGGAGGAGGTTCCAAAGTCCGGGGGCAAAATCATGACTGAAGCAAGCAATGGAATGGAAAATAAGGAATGGCTATGAAAATCATGTGCATGAAACACTGTTTGCGCTTCATCTCTGGTGAGTGGGAAAAACAATCTCAAATGATGCCAAATTTCTGATTTGGGAAGCCCAGTGGTGGTGCCCTTCACCAGGCAAACTAAATACCTGAGAGCAAACCCCCATACTGTCTGGAAGGGGATGTCCATTAGCAAAAGAGAAAAAAACAAGTTTATCTCTACTATATTTCAGCCATAAAATCAGTTATAAAATTTAAAAATGTATAATTCATTAATAAAATTTCTGTTCCCTTTTCCTGTTGCAATGCTCAAAGTATAAGAATTTATTTTAATACTACCCATATAGATTCCAGCTGTTTAAATAGATATTCCTTAGACTGTATTCCAAGTTTTGTATACCACACCTGTAGCTCTGGTATTTCACTCTGAAAACACACAAAAAAAGCATAGGTGAGTAATTTATCATATTCTCTTTGAGGATTTCTAAAATCAGTACCAGCATGAATGAGCAATGACAATCGGCACTCAGTATCTGGTTACCAAAGGACCCACCTCAAATTTTAAAAAGTAACATTTTTAAAGTAAAAAGGTATTCGAGCAAATATTTTATTTTCTAAAAATGCCAGAGATTTGTGGAAAAGAGTTCTGAGCCTTTACTTCAAATATACTCCCTTGTATACGTAAAAGATTTTTAAGAATTTTCTGACATTACAAACCAATGCATTTGCAATTTGTAGTCAGAAAAGGCACAGTATTTTCTGTTCTCAAATGTAACAAAAGGGAGGAAGCAAGAATCTTTTTTTTTTTTTTTAAGGCAGTAAAGGTCACTGCTTCCAAGTCCCCTGGAAAACACAACTGAAGTCTCCCCCTGCCCAAGAACAACTTTCTTGCAAGTGAATTGTATTAGTGGTCCTCAAATTCACAGAGAACATCACCTCCAGCTGGCTTCCATTCTGTTTGACTGACACCATTCAGGAGACAGAAAATATGAGAACATTTGTACACTCACATGTAAACTTTTAATAGTTCATATCAAGAACTGCTGCTTCATGAAAAAATAAATTCTTAAGTCAAACCCAAAATAAAAGTCCTTATTATTTACTTACAAAGGAACCTTTGAGAATGAAGGTAGCAAGTTGCTGTGACACGTTGAAATAAGGAAGAAAAGGCCTTATACATTTAGATTGTTTATGGCTCTAAGGAGAAAAAAGAATCATGCAACGTTACCCAAGTGATGTACAAAGCAGCTTTGGAAAAATAAAACATTCAACATCCCAAGATTAAAGAAATGGCATGCACTGGGTGAAAAACCTGAATTTATTTCAACACTTTAAAACTCTTGTTCTGATATTACATTTATTGACTGTCTACTGTGGATAGCCAAAGTAAAACTCAACAGTGTATCAACTGAAGCAAATTGAATTCATAAACTCCAAACAGATTAGCTTTCATATTATAACTATTTTCCAAGTAAAATGTATCATAAAAGTGAAATATGTTTTCATTGAAAAGGCATTCATGTAAATATCTTCAAAAACACAACCAAAGTCGGCTAAATGCATAAAATACATAGAACAGTTTTCCCACTGCTAACATCATTTCCTACTAATCACATAGGCATGCCTCATTATTATTATGCATCACAAATACTGAGGGTGTTTTTTTGTTTGTTTGTTATTTACAAATTGCAGGTGTGTGGAAACACTAGTTCAAGCAAGCCTGTTGGTGCCATTTTTCCAACGTCATGTGCTCACTTTGTGTGTGTCAGATTTGATTATGGTCTGATCTTTTTTTTCCAGACATAATGCTACTGTACAAGTAAAAGACTAGAACATAAACACAACTTTTACATGCACTGAGAAAAAGACTTGTACAACTTGCTTTATTGCAATATTCACTTCACTGTGGTGGTCTGGAATAGAATCTGTACTATCTCCTAGGTGTATCTGTCAAAGGGGATCGGAAAATAAGTCAAGACATAATCCCTCGGCGATTCAACAGAGAGGTCTTACAGGACAAGGTTCTGGACCAGGCACCAAGAACAATAATGAAGTTACTATTATAATTAGAAACCTTAGTGCTCTACCTGAGTAATGAATACACAACTAGACAGAAAATCAACAAGGACAGAGCAATTTGAACAACACTACCAAGTAGATGAGGGGATTAGCATCTATAGAAAACTTCATCCCACCACGGCGGAATACATATTCTTTCAAGTATAGAAGGGACATTTATCAAGGCATTCTTAGCCATTATAGAAGTCTCAGTAAAGTCAAAACAGATCTGAGTCATGAAAAGTTATCTTCTCTGCTCACAACAAAATTAAATTTAAAAAATAACAGAAAAACCTCTGGAAATTTTCAAAATAGGTAAAAACTAAGTAACAAATTTCTAAATAATCTATGACCCAGAGGGAAAAAAAATAAAAAGGGAAGTCAGAAAGTATTTTGTGCTGTATTAAAATAAAACACAACGTAGTAGGTTTTGAAGGATGTCACTGAAGCAATACCTAGTTAGGAGGAAGTTTACAGTACTAAACAACTACATTAGGGAAGAAGACCTGAGACTTCAACTTCCATATTAAGGAAAAGAAGAACATCTGAAAACTATAACAAGCAGAAGATCCAAGGAGCAGTCAGTTAAGAAAAACTCAAAAAGACAAGAAAGACACTACCTTCAAAAGCCAAGTCTGCAAATAAACTGGAATTTAATTGAATTCGTTTGGGGAACAATTTAAGTCTCAGGGCACTACTGACAAAAACAGAGAAATCCACCAACAATTAATGAAGCAGTTAACAGAATGGTGATTAACCAGCGATGAACAGACAGGTGTGTTAAAGGGAAGGCACAGAGAGGGTCCTGGGAAATACTGGCTCCCGAGGGTGTGTGTACACAAGCAGCAACATCTAAGGCTTCAGGTGCAGGGAGAATGAATATTACTAAAATATCCCAATCAATCATTAAATGAACAAGCAAGAAGCAACAGGAACTGTATGTGAAAGAGATCAAATTTGAGTAGTCAATGAAGGTATAATCACCATTTCTCACCAAGCAGACAATATCACTTACAAGGGAACCTCAATAATACTAATAGTTGATTTATCACCAGACAATGAAAGGTAACACATTTAAAATGATCAAAGCAAAACTGTCAACCCAAAATTTTCTATTCAGCAAACTTATCTTTATAAAAATGAATGTAAAATAAAGGCACTTCCAGATTTAAAAAAAAAAAAAAAAACCCTAAGAATTTGTTGGTAACAGAGAGGGCTTTCATAAAATAAAACCAACAGAATTAGGGCAAAGAGTATCAATAATTTAATAACAACAGCTTAAGAGTTCAAGTAACCACTGTCAAAAAAATACATTAAAAGATTTGAAAAACACCATAAACCAACTAGACCCAACATCTGTAGAATAACACTCTCCCTACAAGTTATAGAACATACATCTTCTCAAGGATGTACAAATGTCCTCCAAGATAACCCATGTGTGAAGAAATAAACAGCAACAAATTTGAAAGGAATGAAATTATACCAAAATGTCTCCAATCACAATGGAAATTAAAATAACAAAAACGGCCCTCCCTGGTGGCGCAGCGGGTTAAAGCACAGCACTGAGAATCTGAAGCCACTTCCGCATGAGTTCGATTCCCGCCTGCCCCGGAGGTGACCATATGGCACAGCAGACCTCTCCTGACTGGCCCGCTGCTCCCCTCAGCAGTGTACTTCGTCAATCTGCCTGTTCTGCTCCCCGCTCTGTCTCTGGTGAATCCGCTCACCCCCCGCATCTCTGGCCTGTACCCCAGTTCTATATGAATAAATAAATCTTTAAAAAAAAATTAAAAAACAAAAAAAACCAAAAAACTAGGAAAACTCATAGAAATATAAAATAATACACTCCTAAAAATAAGCATACTGCTTAAAATATAATTCATAGTCATGAATGCCTATGATAAAAATGCAATAAACTAATATTTTACCTTAACAAATTATTTCTTAGTTATAAAATAAACCCAAAGGAAAGCGAAGGAATAAAGATTAGAGAGGAAATTATTGAAATAGAGAGAATCAACAAAAATCTGTTTCTTTGAAAAAATTAAAGAAAGGGCTATGAACAACTGTATGCTAACAAATTAGCCAACGTAGATAAAACAAACAAATTCAGGAAAACACAAACCATAAAAAAAGTAAAAATCTAAATAGATTTAAAACAAGAGATTGAATCAATAAACCAAAATTTTGTTAAAGAAAAATCCTAGAACTTGATGGCTTCACTGATGACTTCCAGTAAACATTTTAAAAATTATATAATCCTTCATAAATTAAAAAAAAAAATTTCCTAAACCAGGAATAAAATGCAGGTTCTAACTACCCTGTTGAGTTACTCTTCGTCACCGAATTGCTTCCACAGACATGCACAACTGAGTACTCTCACTTTTCTCCTGGTAATCTGTCTTCTACCAGTTTTTATTTGTAGGATCCCAGGTGTGAAACCCATGAGAAATAGGAAACTGTTTCCTCATCCTACCTGAGTTGCTTATTATAGGGCAAATATATTTTAGGAGATCTGGTTAAAAAAAGACACTTTTTTTTGTTGTGTTTCATGCTTTCTCCCAATGTTGACAAAGTGAGCGTCCAATAAAACAACAAAGATTTACCATAGTTTCAATGATGATGGTGAGGTTACCTAAGCCATCAGTCAGAGCTACATAGCTTCCGCCTTTCTCTAAATGGCCAACTGTTTTCAGGTAATACCACCCTGGTTGAGTAAACTGAGTAGTGTGAGCTATAAAAAGAGAGAAAAAAAGCAGAGAATAAAGTAAGATTAAAATGGTGACAACAGGTTCTTTTAAAAAAAAAATTGTCTCCTGATTTGAGTATGATGGAGTTTAGCAAACTACTTTCTATTTCGAAGGAAAAACCTCATGTTTCAACTTTTGAATAATTGGTTAAATGGTATTATTGTGGCTCTTAGAATGACTAATAAAATAAGCAAACTACACTGTCAGCTCATAAATACTAAGTCTTTATTTTTCCCAAGAATATATAAAATTACCCCTCTCAGTATTTGTTCATTTCTATTTAATTCATTCTAACATAACTATTAAAATAAGGTTAAACAATCATAAAGGATTTCAAAAAAGTTTCTTTGCACAATATTTACTTATTGGCCCCATCCATGGCTGGTCCTGAAAATGTCTTGAGTAATATTCCAGTTCCCCACTCCATCATCTTCTCAAAAAATAGTGACAAAATTTAAAGAGTGCTTTAGTTCATTTAGCTAATGTGGATCCAACAATTTCAGTACTTAAGAGGTTAACTAACAAGGATGTGCAAGTCCAAATGAACTTCTCCATACTTCCAGAAGAACAAGTAAAGGAGTTTTAGAGTAATGCTATGATTATAGAGCTAATGTCAAAAGTACAAATCTGAAAAAAAAACAAACACCTCAGTTAAAAATGAAAATCACCACTATGAAGGCGTAAAAATAAAGTTACTTTCAATTTATGGTTTCCTATGAAAGCATAGTTTAGAAGAAATCGATTTTATAAGACATCAGTGATGATGTTAAAACAAAATGATCATAGATCTTTTAGTAAAACAAAATTGTAGAAAGATGTCGAATATTATTCAGCAAATGAATTTTTTTGTTTAGTGAAATTATTAGTGTGATTATTCCGCTTCACGAAGAGTGGCATCGACACCCATTGTGATGAATGAATAATTCAGTAAAAAAAGTCTAGTGGTTCAGTGGAAAGGAAGGTATCACCCACAGCTCTGTTCATCACCTTTAAACCATTCTGTAATTCTTTGTAAGCTGTTGGTAACTGACAAATGTGCAAATGTCTGTGTGGTAAGAACTTATAATTGATTTCTGACACTCCCTGCTGTGGTAAACCCAAATCTGTCTCCATTTGCCGTTCACCTCAAATTGCCTTACTCCACATAAATCTGGACTCGAATTTTGACTTTACCTTTGAATTGACTGTCCATCCCCCTCATCCCTTCCTATTGAAGGACAGGCCTCCCTGAGATGTGTTACTTTGGCATGTAGATTATTTGAGCTAAGGTCACTTGAGGTCCTGCTGACTCATGAAAAACTTTACCCTTCTCTTCACTAATTAGTATTCATTCTGGGGTCTTACCAAGAATTCGGGTCGTTACCAGAAATAACTGCTCGACCAAAGAGACTTATCTACATAGCAGAAGAAACATATAATTATGGAGCATCTGATCATGAGTCACCGGATTCTTGTCATGTGCTCCTTCTCATTTCTCCCTACCCCATTCTTTACCTCTAAATATGCACCCCCATTTTGCCACTGGCTTTGAAATACTTATTTCTGTCAATTCCTCAAAGGTATTTACTAAATTTGTTTTTTTCCTCCAAATCTGTCTGATGTTAATTTGATTACCCAACCAGTTGAAAACTCGAGACATTTTCCCTCCTCCCCAAAAGAATTAGAATCTTTAATAGTGCTCATCTCTCTATGTATATGATAGTCATGGCTTTGCTTTTTCCAAATTATCTTCAACACTCATCAGTAGATTTAGATGATATTGCACATAATTTTGATATTTACTTATCCATTTAATAACTCACTAAATACATTTGTTAATCACCTAAAATCTGTTAATCATCCACTTTTGATCATTAACTAGCACATTATTCTATAAGCAATAAAACTGATATGAACGTAAAAAATTAGTGTCTCCAACACTAATTTTAAGATTTGCAGACTGAGTTGTTAGAAGTCTTTACAAACATCATCATTTTATTAGCAAGTATCATAATATGTAATTATTCACATGATTATACTTGTTTCTGCCTCCAGACAGCAATCTTTATCGCTCTCCACCTCCCCCTTTTCCCTTTCTCTGCAAACAGCCTGGTCTCAAAATAATCAAGAATGGAGTACAGGAAGGATGCCAGTCACAGAAGAGATTCTTACAAAAATACTTTTATGGCAAATCTTGCCTCAAAAAGAGACACATGAAGAATGATGCTAAAAAATAAAAAATAAAAAAAAAAGGAGACACATAGTTCAATTTAAGCACACACGTTCATACGTTCATGCACGCATACACACACACACAGCTTGTGTAATCCCCTTTAAGCAGTTTCCGCCTGTCTCTTAGACAGGAATGGAGTGAGAACGGGGTGCGGACCATACCTGTTACCCAGATAGGAGATTCCACTACATAGTGCCCGCTCCACGGCTCCTGGGCTGTCATCAGTCCACAACGCCCATACGGCAACTGTTCATAGTAACTAGCCACCAAATTCCAAGCAATCGTGCTACAAGATTTGTTGGAGAAAAGAGAAACACCAAAAACAGCTTGTGATAAAAATGCAAATGTGCAGAAGCCTGGAATAAAAAGACCCTATTAAAGTTTATAGACATGTATGGAAATGACCGCCCCAAACAGGAAAATACAAGTTGCCCTAAATTCACTTAAAATTTGTAAACATTTAGGGTTAGATGCACCTACATGCTTTTAATGGTGAATCACATAATGAAAAAATACAAAGATATTCCTACTAAAAATGGCACAGCCAGGAGACTAATCATGCCGCACCAGTGCCAGACACCTCAAAGCTGAGTGAAGTGAATAGAGGCTTTATCCAGACCTGCCTGCCCCTGGCAATCAGGCTTCTTAGTGCCCCAGTTTGATTACAAAATTTTATGAACTGGACTCTGAACTATTGCAATATTTCACAACTGCAAACACTTCACCTCAGACTGTCTGGGTTCAAATCATGGTGTCACTATATAACCTCTCAGGACCTCAGTGTTGGCATATGTAAAATGAGGGCAATTACTGTACACCACTCATGTGAGGATTGAGAGGATTAGGTGTGCTAATGTGGATGAGAGGACAAGCAAAGTCTAGGCTGCTGTGCGGCTGAAATTCTGCTGCTTCTACAAGTACCAACTGGATCAACTTGCGGCCAATATGATACTGAACCCTAAGACTGACACTATTGTTGGGGTTCTCAGGCAAAATCCCAGGGCAAAAGCTGTTGACTGCTGGGCTGCACTGCTGGACACTTCACCACCAAAAATAAAAAGACAGAATTTATCCATAAATTTCTCTTATCCAGTGCTGTCCATTATAAAATGAGACTGACAGTCTTAATTAAAACCTCTATTTCTGTCAACACGAAGTAGTTTCAATTCCAAAAATCCTAATTAATCCTTACTCCCGCTGAAAGTGTTAAACTTCATGATTTCACCCACAGATCGGGAGATGCCTGATATCTTTTCTGACTAATGACAGAAGTAAAAATGCAGATGAACTCTCTGGAGAGCATTCTAGAGCACATCCAAGTCTTTCAATTCTATGTGCCTCCAGCCCAGATACTCAGTCCACTTAAGAGCCCTCCCCAAGGAATTACTTGCAAATACTCAAAAGTTTTCACATAAAACTGATCATTTCAGTTTTTCAAAGTTATCATTAACATAGACACAACTTTCCCTTCTAGGAAGGAGAAAGTATCCAAAGATGTGGACTCTGCTTCCACGCTGCACTTGCCGGGCCTCAGAACCAGCAGGCACTGATTAGACAGAGTCCAAGAGCCTTCCCTTCCTAGGATCCTCGCCCAGGAAGTCTGGGCAGCAACAAGGAATCAGTATAACAAGTGTTTCAGGAGTTTAAGAAAACTAAGCAGTTCTGTTTTATGTCAAAGAATATACAGAAGAATTAAAAATAATGAAGAAGGGAATGTAAGTGTAAGAAAACGTGTATAATGTTAAATGAAACGCAGCTTATGTGCTCAACATTAGTTCAGTCTCAGTTCTGTTAAAATGTTATACATATAGAGTGAACGGGCAGTCATATATCAAAAGTTCTAAGAATCACTATACCCCTAAGATTCTGGGGATTCTGTTGCCACCTTTGTTCTTATAAGCAGCTACTAAATTATCTGCCATGGGTATGCATTTTTCCTAATTAAATTATTAGAACAAAACTCTCTGGAGAGGCATCTTTTCTTTCCAAAAAAAAAAGGAAGAAAAAAACAAGCAAACCAAGGGATGTAAAAAAATATTTTGGCTCACATTGACATCACAAAAGCATGTGCTGCCTTGCTTTGTTCTATTTACTATTGTTTCAGAAAACTAATCTGTATCTAATTACAATTAAAGCTCCTGAAAGCATTTAAGAAATGCTTCCTTGGGAAATAAAAAGAGTTATGTTCTCCCTTAAGAACCTCTATTTGGTAAACAGATAATTACATACAAATTAAGTGATGATATGCAGTGTCAGGCAGACTGGGAAATGAACCATCCAAAAGACAACTTGCCTGTTTTTTTCAAAAGGTCACAGACATAAAAAATGAGGAAGGGTCCCTCTCTGGTGGCGCAGCCGGTTAAAGCACAGCACCAAGAAGCTAAAGCCACTTCAGCATGAGTTCCATTGCTGCCCAGGAGGTGACCCACATGGCGCGGCAGACCTCTCCTGACCCGCCCACTGCTCCCCTCAGCAGTGTGCTTTGTCAGTCGGCCTGTTCTGCTCCCCGCTCTGTCTCTGGTGAAGCCTTTCACAACCCCTGTACCTCTGGCCTATACTCCAGTTCTGTATGAATAAATAAAATCTTAAAAAAAAAAAAAAGAGAGGACAGACTCTAACCTAGATGATGGGACCTTCTGTAAAATATTTAGGGGTGAAGTGTCCTAATGTCTGAAATGTACTCTATTTATTAAAATATATGCAGCTTGCCAAAAATCACAGAACTGTATGATCATTACTATCAATAATCCAATCTCAGTAAGTCTGAGTTTATTCAACACAGACTAACTAGATTATATACAAACAGAGCTTCAGTATAGATGAAGCTAACAAATTATTTCCAATCACTGAATCTAGGCTGTGAGAAATCCAGTGTACTTATTTCTACTTAATGTGTTTCTGATATTTTTCAAAATAAAAACCTTGAGAAGTTTTTAGTAACGTACGAAGTCATGTAGCCATTGATATAATTCTGATTCAATATCCGACCCCAGCAGCCTGCGCCCACATCACTATTTACAGTGCTAAAGTCCTCAGAAGACCAAAGCTTCTTCTTAGTCAACCTCGCATCCTTTACCGAACGGGTGCCAGGATAATGAGCTCTGAAAAAGAGAGAGAGAAGCGGGGAGCCAAGTCAGCCGTGGCATGTTGAATGCACAAACGTCTTTCCCAAGATTTTCTACCTTAAAATAATGGGCAATGTCCAGCCAGCTGCCAGCCTTCTGCTTCTATCCATGTGTCTCAGCAGGCCCTTGAAATGAGGTAAACCTGGAACACGCACAGGATGGACAAGAAACTTCTCTGCTTCTGAAGCCATTCAAGGGATGGAAGATGGAAGTAGCAGCAGAGGTCATAGCCTCAAACACTCCAAGAGATGAATGAGACAAGGGGATACTCAGATGCAGGGGAAGAAGACAGTGAAATGTGAGAGGCAGCCAAAAGCTCTCGGGAAAAAACAAAACAGCAAAAACTAATAAAAATTCTTTGTTGAATAAAAAGAATAAACTACTTTGGGAAAACTAAGTGCTACTACCCCCAGAGCAGAGGTGGTTCTCAGGCTGAATGATTGTGCCTGCTAGAAAGGGCAGGACAGCACAGGGCAAGTTTTGCTTCTGGAATCAACTCAGAGACCAAAGAGGTCACTAACATAAAGGGGCCTAATCAGCACTCATGCATGAGGCTGTACACCCCGAGTGGAAACAATGAAGAGCAACTAGTGAGACCAGGGATGTTTCTCAGCGGGTTTGAAGTTGAAGGTAAATACCAAGCATGTGATTCACTAACCTACCCCACACCCTGCTGTGCCAGTTTAAATGAGACTTGTCCATTAAATAGTGGACAATATATGAATAGTGGAAATAGGATATGAGTCACACATGCACGTTAAAATTGTCCAGTAGAAGGTCCTCCCTGGGGGCACAAGGGTTAAGTCTCAGTGCTAACAAGCTATCGCCAGCCACGGTAGCCCAAGTTCGATCCCAATCAGGGACCCACATGGCACAGCAGACCTCTCCTGTCTCCCTGCTGCTCCCCTCAGCAGTGTATTTCAGTAGATCTGTCTTATCACTCCCTACTCTGTCTCTGGTGAATCCTCTCACCTATGTATGCACTGCTGGCTTACACTCTGGTATGTATAAATAAATCTAAAAAAAAAAAAAAAATTCTAGTAGCCACACTTAGAAAAGTAAAAGGGAAATATTAATGATTTACTTTGTTTTTTACTTTGTTTAATCCAATAAATCTAAAATATCACCATTCACTTGTAATCTGTATGAGTAAATAAATAAATCTTTAAAAAACAGAAAGCATAGGAAACAAATCATGTAGGAAAGACTTTGATATGTAAAGTATGTAACGTTATAAGTCATTATTTAACAAAAGATAATACAGAAAACAAAATCTTCAGTTACATCAGTAAACATGACTTTGCTCACTCATCAAAATACGAAGACTTTAGAGCAGCTAAGAAAGCAAAATCTATGACATATTCAATGAGCACACATAAAACAAAATGCCTCTGAAAGTTGGAGCAGAGATCTATCAGACAAACACAAATGAAAGGAAAACAGGGGTCTCCATCTTAGTCACAGGCAAAGCAAAATTCAATCCAAAATCATCATCTGAGTGAAAGAAGGGTATTTTGTAATATTGCCACAAATCAATCTTCAATGCCAATGTACAAATGAAACAGCAGGACCTGCTTGAGATTTAAAGGAGAACTAAGAGGAAACGAACACTCGGAGGACCCTGGGTAGTTCAATGGAACAAAATAATTCGGGCACAGAATATCTAACGGCAGGTGGGTACCATCTGCGTTGGCTTCAGTTTTCAAAGTGAAACGTGCTCTTACCCTATGACGTCCACCACCTGCAAGAGCTCGGGGTCAAGCACCATAGACGCGGAGATGGGCTCCCACAGATTGTCACTCGCTATGATTTTCACTTGGTAGAGACCTTGATAGTTCAGCATTCTTCTTAACACCTTCCAGTGGGATGGACAGACAGAGGAGGCCACATGTCACTCTTCAGTCTTGATTTGCATCACCCCAAAACTCACCTCTATTCTTACAGAGAGGAAGAACAACAACTTCGCCAAACTGTCACTTACCCCTCTGGACCTATCTACTTTCCCAGGGCTGTTCCTAGACCATCGCCTCCATTACTTACTTTCTAATAGTGATTTATGCAAATAACACTCCCAGGTACACACCTCTATAAACTGTGTTTGCTCAGTAAGCTTCCATCCTTAAATCAGTATAAATACCAGTAATCTTTGAGCAAAGCTTTACCTAATATATTTTCAAACGTTTTTATTGTGGAGCCCTTCTGTCCTCTAGCCTCCTCTCCCTCCAAAACAAAGCTTTGTCAGATAAATGAAAAGGATGTTGTCCTGGTTGAACTGAGTGTGGCCCCAGACTCAAACACCCATTTCCATGCACTGCCCTCAGCACCTACGTGGGATTTTTCCAGACACAATTTAAAAGTCACATCACTGAAAATAGTGACAAATATAGCATAGATAGCAAAAAAAAAAAAAAAATCCCCTAAAAGAAACAACAGCCCTGCCTTCTTCACATGAATCACTCGTTTGTAGTACATTATAGTATATTTAATATATTTAATAGTTTCTACTATTAAAGATAAATACTTTGCTATTTCCAGAGGCCATCTCACTACACTATTTGGAATATATTCATTAAACTTATCAAACCCGAATACCTTCATTCCTCTGCCCATCACTGAACCCTTGCCAACAGGCATTTTAGCACACAGAAGACAGATTCCAGTAAAATCTTGCAACAAGTAAAGACAAATACTAGCTAGGCCTTTTCACTTCCTGAGATGTTATACTGCAAGGAAACTAAAGATTGAGAGAGGCTTAGATATAACCACAGGAAAGAAAAAAAGCAAAGCTGTGAAAAGTCAAGATCTGCAGACAAACGTTCAAGCTTTCCGCTATGAAGACCCTGCAGCAGCCCGTGCAGTGACCGCACCTGCCCCAGCAGGGCCTCTGCGCTGTGCTGGTGCTGCCGCTGCCCGCACAGACCTGCGCTCAGGGCTGTCACCGTCCCCTCCACGACTGCCCAAACCTGCCTGCCCTGCAGCCTGGAGCTGCCCTCGAGTCCCAATCCTCTAGGTCCTCGCCTCAAAATATCCGTGAACTATTTCCACCGTGCCACAGCCCCAGGGCACACAGCCTACTCCCCAGGATCCCCACTTTTCCTCCCTTCTGGTACCACTCTCGCCCCTGGGCTCTGCCCCCAAATCTCTTTACTGCTCCATCGTCACTTCCTTGCTGTGTTGTACTCCTGCTTTAGGAACTGGGGGCTCCTATCCGTCTTGAAGATTCCAACCTCCTGCCCCTCCTCTGACAGTCTCCCCTGACTCTCCAGCTCAGGGTGTCTCTGCACTTCTGACGTGCACATAATGGCTTATTCTGTTACAGAAATTATGGCTGATATTTCCATTGTCCAGAATGGCCTCTAGAGACCCCAAATGTGGATTTCTTTTGGGCAGAAACAGTACTTTTTACTTCTTATATTCTAAGCAAGTGCACAATGCCTAACAAACTAGGTGCTCAGTGCTTGCTGACTGAATAGATGAGTTAAAAAAAATAAAAGAAATAAAAGAGCCAGTGTTTTTATTATCTGCTTAAAATCATAAACTCAATCTAGAGAAAAAATCTGAAATGAATCACAATATAAGTACATTATTATTTCTTATCACACATATCACATAATATAAGTACACATTATTTCTTATCAATAAGACACCAAATGAGACAAAAAGAACTGAGAAGTAACCTCGGGACTCTGCACCTAAAAAGGTGAAACTGCTATTATTTTCCAAAAACAGCAGATTCATTCTCAATTTTTCCCTTGCTGAAAAATAGCAGTAATACTATTTCCCCACAAAGGAGGCAGCAAAAACTAAATGCACGTACATGTTTAGGAAAAAGACTAAAAATAACACACCTTGTAAATATTAGTTGCTGCCACTTGCTGATCACAAATGGAAACATTTACCACCCTCCCTGATAAAAGACATTCCAGAGAAGAGGAGGAAAGACTACATACTAGAAACTTCACAAGAGATAGTGACAGAAGAAACTGACATTTCCTAAAGTCTTAAAAGACAAAAATTGCATGCAATTGTTTATGATTATCATAATGGCACATACTTTAACCCAACTTCAGAAAACAGTGAGTCAGAACTTATAGGGAGCTATATATAGTTTACTATCAAGAATATAAACATTACTAAGATGTTGCTTGAATTTTATGTCACAACTAGCAAAATAATTTAGCTATGCAGCAAAATATAAGGCAGTCAGACCACTAATTTCCATAGAACCATAACAATTTATTCACTAAGAACTTACAGAGCAAGAGTTTAAAACTGTACAAACCTTGATATAACTGATGTCAAATGTCCTCTCATTCCAAATCTGCAGAACAAAAAGGCAAGAAGTCTGAACTGGAAGTTTTTAAGTGTCAGAAAGGAGGCATTATCATTAAGACGCCATTTCTCTCATTTCATTTTTCTTACTTTATAGAACATCCTGTTATGGGACTTATAGGTATTAGACAACATAACTTTTAATTAATGTATAGTTTTAGAAAGTTTAAAGAATGTATGGGTACTTTTTTAACAGTCATTTGTTCCAGAAGATTTTTTAAAAGCAGAACAGGCATTCAATCTTTCAACAAATATTGACATGTATGTGGGGAATGACTGAGGTCCCAGAGACCAAACAGACCTGAGTGGTTGTAGTTAAGTCTCACAAGCTCACCCAGGCACCTGAAAAGCAGGTATTAGTAAGTATACTGTAGAGGAGCAATTCTAACACACAGCCTCTTGGCCATGAGCTATATCACAAAAGCAAACTCCCTACTCTCAATGAGGAAATGAGGACTCTACACAACTGTCTGCAATTTAAAGCCAGGAAGCACGGGAAGCTGAAAGAGAACTTCCATGACTTTATTTTGCAATTTAGACAACTGTTATCTATAGAGCTGTAACTTTTTCTACTCCAGTGATACTGGAAGGAACTTCTTATCAAAGCAGCTCTTCACCAGAGCATGTGATAAGCAGGAATCTAAAAGAGATGTGAATCACCCATTCATTACATGAAACATTTTCAAGTGTGACTTTACCACAACACAATGCTATTCAACAGAAGCCGACATTTGGCCTTACGGGTTAGACATACCCTACCCTAACGTTTTGTGGATAACAAAAAAGGTCACATTTCTATCTTCTGGTGTGCAGCCCCTGACTCACCATCATGTCTACTCAGTCCTGTATACTGAAGTTTATGTGCTCCAGTTTCTACTTCTCCCTGAACTCCTCAAAAGTGCATTAATCTTGTTATCACAGAACATAATGGCTACAGTGTCTACAACACAAGAGGAACTAAATAGCTTGCTAACTGCATGAAAACTTAAAAGTTTTCACAGACGGCTTTTTTTTTTTTACTTTTTTATTATAACAGTTTATTTTTACATCATTTTGTACATTTTTTTTTCCATCTCAATTGTAATCCCCATGGGTTTCCCATCACCAAGTCACCCGTGTGTCATCACCATAATCCCGTGTACTTCCCTCCCCACCCCCCACCCCCATTTTTTATCCCATTCCCCACTCTACCCCCACAAAATGTCTCTGGTATATGGTTGTTCATTATTCTTGTTAATTTCTCGCCTGGTCCATTATACTCCTGCTATGAGTGAAACTATCCAGTTATTTTTCTTTCTCTTTATGGCTTATCTCACTAAGCATGATCTTTTCCAGCTTCACCCAAGTTGCTGCAAAAGACATGTGTTTCTCTTTTTTGGTTGCTGAGTAATATTCCATTGCATATATGTATCACATCTTTTTTATCCAGTCATCTACTTTTGGGCATTTGGGCTGCTTCCATGTTTTTCCAATTGTTAAAAAAAGCAGTAATAAACATGGGGGTGCAGGTATCTTTTTCAATCAGTGTTTTTGTGTCTTTTGGGCAGATACCTAGGAGTGGGATTGCTGGGTCATAGGAAAGCTTCATGTTTAGCAGTTTGAGGAACCTCTAAACAGTTTTCCATAGTGGTTGTACTAGTTTGCATTCCCACCAGCAGTGCAGGAGAGTTCCTTTTTCTCCACATCCTCGCCAACATTTGTTGTTGCTAGTTGTTTGAAGATGTGCCATTCTCACTGGGGTGAGGTGGTATCTCATTGTGGTTTTAATTTGCATCTCCCTTATTACGAGTGATGTTGAACATTTTTTCATATGCTTGTTGGTCATCTGCATTTCCTCTTTGGAGAAGTGTCAGATGGCATATTTTTAAGAAATTAATGTGTATGGAGACAGTGTGTACGTATGGAGACAGAGTGTGGGTGTGAGTCTCTGCTCGAGTACAATGGAGACTGAGGTGCCCCTCCAGCCTACTAACAGGCCAGCTGGAAAGAGAACAGGCTATAATTTACTCTTTGTAAGTGTTAAAAGGTGTTAAATAATAGTTTAGGACAAGGGCAAGTAAATATGAAATATAGATTCAAAAGTGGGGAGAAAACTGGGTGGGCAGAGAGGAGGACTAAAAAGTTACACATAGTTAATTTATTATCAGACACTAGTAGAACGAATCAGTTTCTTGAAACAAAATGGTTACCCAACAAAGTACTGCTGAATCAAATTTTTTAAAAAATCACAAGTTAACATCCAAGAATTTTCCATGCTTTATATATATATATATATATATATTACTAACCCCAATATAATCAATGTCCAAATCATGATAATGCTTGGCGCCCACAATCCAGGTCACGATATAGTAGGCAGTCAGCTGAAGATTCACGTATGGCCAGTTGAAACCTTTCCCCAACCATCCAGGGAATGACCACGGTAATGCTGCAGAGAGGAAGAGGCAGAGCTGGAAAGGCTATGAAGGTGCTGCTCTGGGGGAGACCAGCAACGTCAGCGGGAGAGCACAGGATAAGCAAACTCAAGATGGCCCACACTACAGGCCAGCTTATCTACCATGCACAATGCTCAGTCTGTCGGCCACAAGACCCCACTGTTAGGTTCCAAATGCTCTTTCAAGAAAAAAAATAGAAACAAACTGCAACAAAAAACAATACCTCTCTGAAAGATACTAATCAATCAAAAAAATTAAGAATTTAATGTAAACCTCTACTACCTGCTATAGGGATAGTCAAAATTGAATTTCTGTTGTCTGAGTCAAATCAAAGAATACTGCAAGGCTTATGCTAACTACTCTAATAAATAATACTGACTCCTGATTCATTAGCACGTTTTCTTACAGCTAGGGCTTACTTAAAAAGTTAGGTTAATCAAATTGAATGAAACTAGTTTGTCTTCCTATCAATACAGATGCCAATGATTCAATAAGAAAGTACATCTGTGTTGAATATTACAGATAAAATAACACACTCTTCCAATGATTTTATTTAATAATTATTTAATTTATAATCAATTTTCCCAATTTTTAATCCTGAAATTAACATAGAGAAGTCCTAAGTACAATGTAAATCCAATTCCTTGTCTAATGTATTAAACTTAAGAGCAAAGTTCCTTGACTGTTAACATATGTTACCAAAGTAGTTCATCTCTGACAAAATCAAACCAAAATGACAAAATGCTGATTTTTCTAAACTCAGGAGGAATGCCTATGTGTCTCTAGATAAGCACTGTGAGCCTAAATAATGTAACATTTGAAAACAAAGCCCTCCCTGTGTAAGCTTTTGTGAGGACAAAGCTCAACTCAGCATTCCTCATTTAAATGAGGAAAGCAGCCGAACTGGGAAGGATGCTCTGCTGAAGTCAATGGGGCCTTTTACTGCTCAAGACATTTCTGGAATCACATACAAAGATCCATTTAGAGTAAAAACACAGATCCTTACTTTTATTAATTTAGAAAAATTTGTTTGTCTTTGTGAAAAATGAATCTGAAAATAACTTGAAACCAAGTATTACTTAGTCTAAATGTACGAGCCTATGTCAAGAAATCAAATGTATTCTGAATGGTGAGGTGGACATTAGCAACACTCCCCAGGTCAGCATATTGCTGCTGGAGGGGTACAAAGTAAATTCAGTCCCATCTGAGAAACCACCCCGGATCCTGTCACTAAGCTCTGTGAGAACCAGAGTGGAGGGCTGAGCTGTTCAGGGTCCCAAGTACCTGGATCAGTGACCCCCCCCATGCCACATCGATGAGGTTCAAAACATCGAAAAAAGCAACCACTTCTCTCTAGGGGTCCTCTAGAAATGGGATCTACTACTTCGAGCAATACATAATTTTGCAAATACCAGGGATATACTACTGCATAGAATATAGCATTTTATAAGTAACATTGCTCTTTTATAAGCTTGGGTGAGAAATTTCATTGAGGAAAGTAGTTTATCACAAATAAAACCCAGAATGGAATGAGATTCTAAATGTGACTTTGTAATTTCCTAATTATCTGACCTTAACGTCAGAAGAATAATCTCTCTAAGCCTCCTCTGCTGCTTCTGCAAATGCAACGAGTATCTATTGCATTCTCTCACTCCAGAGCCCTATAAAGACTAGATATAATACGTCAGGGCAAAGAAAGGCTCCTGTCTGGCACATGCTTGGATGCTGGCAGGTAGTAGGAACAGTATTATTAGTACTTCAGTATTAATGGAGACTCAACAGACATGATTCTGAATTTAAAGTTAAAGGAGAACAGACTGAGAAGCATGGCAAACTTCACTTCTTACCCATGAGTGTAATATTAGGGTTCCGCTTCTTGGCTTCCTTCATTAACCACCACTCATATCCTCGGAAATAATTCTCATCTAAAGCATAATGCATGTGGGAGGGCTCAGTGCCATCTGGAGGGAAGCAAACAGAGAGAAAGGAAACTATGGGTTAATATATTGTAAGGTCACTTTCTTCTACACGAATCCACACAAGTAGCAGTATCCCACTTCCAATCCTGAAGTGGGGCAATCAGAACAACGTCAAACTTCAGGGCAGATGAACAAAGCATATTAGTTCATCTTTATTCATTATCCTAACATACAGGTCTTAAATAATAAAACCACAACTTACTATGATAAACAGCATTAAGAGAAGTGTTATCACATCAAGTGACAGAAAATTGGAACGACTTTCTGTTGGGCTGTTGGTATCTCTGGGGTTTTCAACTCCCATGTCCAACTTGAAGCTCAGATCACCTTAGCTTCAGCTTCTCAACCCTAGATGTGAATCCTAGGTCCCAATTCTCAAGCCACATGCTTTGAGTTTATGCAGTGTTTTACACCAAAATAACTGTTTTTAGAGAAAAAAGAAAGGATACACATCCCCACTCTAAGAAAATTCTACACTAACCCTCTGTGATGTTGCAAGGTAGGGAAATCAACATCACAATCCTCATGTGTTAAGGGACCAGGGGAAAAAAAAATAATAATGAATAACTATATACCAGAGACATTTTACGGGGGTGGAGTGGGGAATGTTAACAAAAAAGGAGGGGAGGAGGGGGGGAAGTGCACTGGACTATGGTGATGGCACACAGGTGATTTGGTGATGGGGAAATAGGGATTACAACTGAGGTGGAAAAGGCACAAAATGATATAAAATTAAACTATTATATTAAAAAAAAAGAGGAAGAATGCCAAAAATTTTTTAAAATCCTCATGTGTTTACCATGTTTTATAAACATCTGCCTTTCTTTTTTGAAGGGTCTCACCACAAAAGGGACCCTTCCCCAATTCTTAAAGGCAAGCCTCAGAATTCACAGGGCCATCAGCTTCTGTGTCTCTAACCTAATCTGGCTTCAGCAAATGAAAACAAGCAGCCATTGGTTTGATTCCACAAGTGTCCTAGGATAATGTACAGATCCCCTTATAAGAGGTCAGAGAAAGTTTTTGTTTCAGAGTTTTCTTTTGTATTTAAATTAAATCTTTCTCTTTTGACAGAAATTAAACACAAATGCCACCACACAGATACCTTCAATTTACCAAGCATCACTTCCAAATCACTAACAACAAGGCATATAGACAGTTCTCTAAAGTTCACTATAATGGAATCTGACCTATATTTATACAATAAGTAATGCTTTGCCTGGAGACCAAAAAACTGTGAACTTTTAATTGACTATATGTACTATACAAAGTAAATCAGAATGGAAACAATGAAGTAAGTGGTTAAAAATAACTTTTTAAAGAAAAAAGCAGTATCTCTGAAATACTGATCACTTACTTTTGTCAATTTATTTAATGCTAATAGCCTCTTATATATTTTACACATTAAAAGCTTTCTTTTTTCTTTTTTTAACCTCACCATAGTTTACTGCTAATGATTCCCATGAAATAAGCAATCTAAAGCCCAAATGTTATTTTTGATGGAAAGCTACATATTTTTTGGGTTTTTTCTCCTGTATTCATTTCTTTTTTTACATTTTTAAAAATATTTTACCTTTGTATCATTTTGTGCTTTTTTCCACCTCAACTGTAATTCCCATGGGCTTCCCATCACCGAATCACCCGAGTGCCATCACCACAGTCCAGTGCACAACCGCTTCCCCACCCCCATTTTGATCCCATCCCCCACCCCACCCCGTAAAATGTCTCTGGTATATAGTTGTTCATTATTATTATTTTTTTTGAAAACTGCATATTTTAATTAAGCTTTTGTAAACTGGAGAGAATAAAGGAACAATAAAGAATAATCTGGTAAGCAATAATATCAACAATGTTACCACTTATATTCTAAAAATCACTGTACTTATACTAAGGTGTAAATAAAATGTTGGGAAAACAGTTTCAATTTCCAAATTCTCCTACCTGTTGTCTGCCCATCGCCACCTATTTCAACTTTTAGAATATGCAAGGAGGCACCGAAGTTTGGCTGGGGAAAAAAATAACAGCATTAACACTGTGCCTCACTGTACAAAGGGCTGAGCACGTCTAGACAACTGCTAATTACTGCCGTTGGTCTTAATAGTACGAAAACCAAAGCAGAATTTCAAATAAATAACAACATATCCTAACAGTAAATTGCCAATTAAAAAAAAAAGTCACCACACATCTTCTAAAAGATCACAGTTGCATTAAATAATTATTTTCCATTACCTTAAAGAGATAATCCAATATTTGAGAACGAAAGGGCTCTGGGTAATTTACAAGAAGTCGAGAGGTTGCCTAAAAAACAAGTTTTCAAAAGTTTAAATAAAGCAAATCTGATCGCGAACTTTTTCACAGTGCCACCACGCACATACATATTTGAGTAACCCTTGAGTAGAGCTGAGCTGTGGAAAGTTATTTCCCAGGTTATCTGTTGTCTGCCTTTGTTTGGCCAACAGCTAAAATGCAATGTCTGAGTAACCAGCCAGTTTCTCTTGTTCTGAAATGAGGGTTGGCTGGGAGGAAGTTTGCTAGGGCTATTGATGAACCTAATGATTAAAAATTTGCTTTGAGGATCTTGACTGAGAGCGTGGTTCTTAAAAGGAATGAAACACAAGTTGTCTGTCTTAAGGCCACTTGTCAAAATATCTAAAGGCAAGAATAGGAAAGATGAGCCTCAGTAACATTTTCCCATAATACCACAGGGGAAAGTGACAAGCAACCATGCTAACAGGAACCATTATTCCCCTCATCCTTATTAGAGATGGTGAGTCCTAACCTGTCACCATTCAGAAGGACCACACTACAGTGATCTGCACTAAGGAAACCTCACCCAAGACCAGCATCAGACTGCATGGACAGAGCGGTAAAAGGTGCAAAATGTCTGGTCACACCTAAACCATGGCTGATGAGCACTTGGACAAAGAAATCATCAAACCCGTAAGTGATTAAAAATGTATCTTTGGGAACAATATATTCAGGGGAATCAGAAGGGTAGGTTTTAACATAAAATAGTGCATTTCTGGGCCCACCCTGGTGGCACAAGCTAGCTGCAGCTGCGTCAGCAGGAGTTTGATCTCCTGCCCCCGAGCTGACCCACATGGCACAGCAGACCTCTCCTGACCCACCCACTGCTCCCCTCAGCAGTGTACTTCCTCACTCTGTCTGTTCTGCTCCCCACTCTGTCTCTGGTGAATCCTCTCGCTGCCCCTGCACCTCTGGCCTATACCCCAGTTCTGTATGCATCAATAAATCTTTTTTTAAAAAGTGCATTTCCTATACTTGGAAGCCACACAAATTCTAGGTCCCAGGCACTGACACTTGCCAGGTGTTCAAGGCAGACACCTGAATGATAAGGCTCAAAGTTCTGTTTTATGTCTCAAAGATGCTACCTCTAACATTCTGACAGTGTCCATGATGCACCTACACACCCCCCAAATTTCACCAGCTGCTGCAACTGAGCCACAGGCCTATGGACCCACGTAGGTCCTTCTCAATTATGAAAATAGCCTCAGAGACTACAGATGACCACAGGCCTCCCTGCTGTCTACTCACCACACTGCTTGCCAGACTGTCTTCCCCAAATACAGATCTAATAATGAAACTGCTGTTTAAACCCACCAAGACTTCCCCTCCTCCAACATTTTCCAAGATAAAGTTCAAATTGCTCAGCTGACACCCAAACTCCTTAATTATTTGGATCCTGACACTTCATACGTAAGCACTCATACCTTCTCCCTAACTGTAGGAAGCTACTTTTTTTTTTTTTTAAAGATTTATTTATTTATTCATATAGAACTGGGGTACAGGCCAGAGATGCGGAGGGTGAGAGGATTCACCAGAGACAGAGTGGGGAGCAGAACAGGCAGATCGATGAAATACACTGCTGAGGGGAGCAGCGGGCGGGTCAGGAGAGGTCTGCCACGCCATGTGGTCTCCTCTGGGGCAGGCGGGAATCGAACTCATGCGGAAGTGGCTTTAGCTTCTCAGTGCAGTGCTTTAACCCGCTGCGCCACCAGGGAGGGCCAAGCTACTTTTTTTTTTAAGATTTATTTATTTACTCATACAGAACTGGGGTATAAGCCAGAGGTGCAGGGGCAGTGAGAGGCTTCACCAGAGACAGAGTAGGAAGCAGAACAGGCAGATCGAAAAAGTATACTGCTGAGGGGAGCAGTGGGCAGGTCAGGAGAGGTCTGCCACACCACGTGGGATCACCTCTGGGGCTGGGGATCGAACTTGCACTGAAGCAGCTGCGGATTGTTTGCAGTGCTGAGCTTTAACCCACTGTGCCACCAGGGAGGACCCAGGAAGTCACTTTTATTTTCTTTCATCTGGCATGTATACCCTACCTTGATTTGATATATTCAAGTCCTCCTTCAGTTTTTAGCTTAAACTTCAGAGAAAGATACCTTCTGTTCTTCCTCACCAGTGAGAAGGAGGGGTATCTCCTGCAGACTGCCTCAGAACCAGGTCCTGCTCCCCACCATAACCCTTCCAGCCTGGACCCATCATCACTGCTTTACTCATCTGTCTGTCCTACCTCGATGTTCTCTGAGAACAGAGACTGTGTCTTCCTCCAGATCATATCCAGATACAGTCTTTAAGTTAATAAGTATTTACTTAGCGTCTCACATGTTATCATGTGTTACATTAGTACAGGCAACTTAATACAGAAGACCCTGAGTCAGATGGAGTTTGCCTCCTGACATTATTTGCAAGCTACATTATTTACAAATAACTGTAATTATCTTACTTGTTCAGCTGATGCGACTATAAGATGTATATAAAGGACCGAGCACAAGAGGTCACAAACATAATAAGCTCCCAATAAATGGCATAGGTATTTAAGAATTTGCTTTTAAAAGTGTTGTCACTGTTCTCCAAGAGCTGACTAGCAGAGGCTCAAATACTAAAGGAGAAACTCCAAATGTATGAGTTAACTGCAAGAACCTATCCTTGGCCCATGGTAAACAATGCTTCCTGCCCAGCATTATGCTACTAGAATTATGTATTTTGCTGCTCCTGGGTTATTTTGCACTCTGTGCCCTCCTATCCTTAACTTAGAAAATATCAATATTAAGCAAACACACCACCTCATCTATACTCTTGATGCCGACAGTCACCTCCAGTATTGCTATGGCACTGGTCAACAGCAACAGCCAGTTAACAGTAGTAGAGCCAGGGTCCTCCCTGGTGGCACAGCAGGTTAAAGCACAGCACTAAGAAGCAAAAGCCACTTCAGCATGAGTTCGATCTCTGCCCCCGAGCTGACCCACATCGTGCAACAGACCTCTCCTGACCCACCCACTGCTCCCCTCAGCAGTGTATTTCATCAATCTGCCTGTTCTGCTCCCCACTCTGTCTCTAGCGAATCCTCTCACCACCCCTGCAACGCTAGCCTGTACCCCAGTTCTGTATGCATAAATAAATAAATAAAATCTTAAAAAAAAAAAAAGGCAGTAGAACCAGATGTTGAAATGCACCATCAAACAATGACATTATTACCAAATTGTTCATCCTGAACAAGGCCAAGAGTAGTTATGATCAACCCGGAAAGAATTCTAAGCAGAAGAGCTGGCACACTGTCAGCTCTCAGTAAATGGCAAACACTGTATACTCAGTTTAGAACAAGGTTTTCATCTAGAGTCCGTGGACTAACTTCTTCCTCCCTAACCTCTGAAAACAGAGTATTGACCAAGATGAGTCATGAGCCAGATACCATTTTAAACACTTCACATCAATCTTCACAATTCTATAGGCAAGGATCGCCAAGTCCCTAGGGAAGAATGGGACGAAGAGGTTAAATACTGCATGGCACTCCATGGACCTTTGGAGATCCGTTCTGAAGTCTACATTCTTAGCTACTGCACACTCCCTGTTCCTTGCAGACAGGGAGACCAAATGAAAACATTCCATTCTGCCACAAATTTTGCCAGGTGCCAGTGTCTTCACAAACAGGTTTAAAGTTTTGCAACCATCTTCAATCAGAATTTACTGAACTTCTAAGATGACTGATGCAGAGTGCACAAGTGACTGTTGTCTAGTTTATCAGATGAGCTTAGGGCCTACTTATCTACCTTATAAAAAAAAATTCTCATTTCAACAATTCTCAACTGAGCCAAATTAAAATAATTCCAGTTTGGGGCAAGTTTAAATACTGGATTTAATGTAATAAGCAACCATATCTGATGAGCCAAATGAATTGTCACTTTATAAAATGTTGACAATTTCAGATTTAAATCACAAAAATACAAGAGAATGGTAGTGGTAAAGAAAAAAATGGGTAAGCCCATTAGCCCACAGGGTACCATAAAATCAGTGCCAATGAAGTTGCAACATTAGGTAATAAAAGGGAATCAGCTGGTTTGGCAAAAGGTATTTTCCCTCAGGTCAGGTCTATTCTATGATCAAGCTACACACCAAGTCTGACAGAGCTTCAAGTTTCACCATTGGCTTTTTCCTTTTGTAATGCAAGAGGCTTCCACTTAAATGATGACAATCTCCAATACACATGTGTCATCAGCCACATGTCTGGATAAAGAGCCAGGTGGAGCAGGAGAGGCCAAGTTCCTGGTTTGTAGAGATCTCAGTTGAATTTCATAATTACTTGGGCCCTTTTTTGTCTCCATCTTGGGTGTTTAATTTACCAAGAGTGAGGCCATAGAAAAGTAGTTCCCCCCACACACACACTTTTACCCCATTAAAAGTGAAACACAGCATGACAAACACCTCAATAACATCTTTAAAGATACAATACCCAAAGCAAGGATAGTGAAAGAAAGGATAAACAGCTAGGACTACATCAAGTTAAAGAGCTTCTGTACATCAAGAAAGACATAACACAAAACAAAGAGACATCCCACTGAGAAAATATTTGCACACAGTACTAATAACAAAGGACTGGTCACAAAGATATATAAAGAGCGGATAAAACTCAACAAAAACAAAGTGAACAACCCATCAAAAAAATGGGCAGAAGATTCACTCATAGCAGGAGTATAACAGACCAGGCAAGAAAATAATATAATAATGAACAGCTATATATCAGAGACGTTTTGTGGGAATGGATCAAAAACAGTGGGTGGAGGGAAATGCACAGAACTATGGTGATGGCACATGGGTGATTTAGTGATGGGAAACCCATGGGGATAACAACTGAGATGGAAAAATGCACAAAATGATGTAAAAATAAACTATGTATATATACATATATATGTATATATACATATACATATATTTAGGAAAATAGGTATCAACTGAATTTGACTAACTGGTAATAATTTGCTGAATCCTCCTTGAGAACAACAGTAAAGTAATAAAATTATTAGTAGACGCAGTCAAATATTTACCAAAAAAAAAAAAAAAAGGCAGAAGAATAAGACACTTCTCCAAGAGGATATGCAGATGGCCAACAGGCATATGAAAAATGTTCAACATCAATAAGGGAAATACAAATTAAAACCACATTGAGATACCACCTCACACCAGTGAGAATGGTACATATTAAAACAATGCGCAACAACAAATGTTGGTGAGGGTGTGGAGAAAAAGGACCTCTCCCACGCTGCTGGTGGGAATGCAAACTGGTACAACCACTATGGAAAGCTGTTTGGAGGTTTCTCAAACTGCTAAAAATGGAGCTTTCATATGACCCAGCAATCCCACTCCTAGGTATCTACCCAAAAGACACAAAACACAAATACACCTGCACTCCCATGCTTATTGCCTCTCTATTTACAATTGAAAAGACATGGAATCAACCCAAATGCCAAAAAATAGATGATTGGATTAAAAAAGATGTGGTACATATAGACAGTGGAATATTACTCAGCAATCAAAAAGATAAACTCATGCCATTTGCGGCAACACTGATGGAGTTGGAAGAGATCATGCTTAGTGAAATAAGCCAGAAAGAAAATGAATAATACTGGATGGTTTCACTCATAGCAGGAGCATAAGGGATCAGGGGGAAAAAAAGCCAGACAGACAGACAGACAGATAGAAGCAAATGTAAAAAAGTAAAAATGAGAACAACAAACAACTATAAACCAAAGGCATTATATGGGGTGGAAAGAGGGCACAGGACTATGGTGATGGCACATGGGTGAACTGGTGGTGGGAAGCCCCCAGGGACTACAATTGAGATAGGAAAATGTATAAAATGATGGCAAATGTAATTTATACACACACACATATATATACTAGCATAACATATATATAACATATGTGTATATATATATATACATATATAACATAAAAAAAGAAAAACTCTAAACCCACATCTCTCTCTACTGTGAACACAACAGGTAGATCCAGTTATGTGATCCCAAGTGTGCCATTTGCTTTCCAAGACCTGAGAGAAAGAAATCTTTTTTCCACAGTTTCCTGATAGTTACTGTTGAGGATGTCTTGCAATCATAAGAACAGGACTCACCCACTCACAACAGTTGTCTATAATCTGAGATGGTACAAAACCACCCAGCAAAGCAAGCACTCAAGCTCATGTGAATTGCTCCTAAGGATACAAGCCAACAAACAGCCCATTTAAGATTCCACCTTAACTTCTTTCAAATTAACTCTAGCTCTAATCTGGGATACCAAAGACCTGCCACCATAAACCACACAGACCCAAAGGTTACAAACAGAAGGGGATGAGACAAAAAGCAAGATTAAGAGAGCGTGGAACAGAAACTACATTTTATTAGGAGCCAAGAACAAACCTACTGAGGAACGATTCAGGCCTGGAAGCCACCTGTCAGCATGAGCAGAAGCTAAAGAAACACCAGCCTGTGCCCACACAACGCTACAGAAACTTGGGATTGCTCTCAAGCCTCCTCAGATAAGAACTCCTTTCAACTTCACAGCAGAGAGAGGCATGCCACTAAAATGTAATTGGTATCCTGGATGGGATCCCAGAACCGAAAAGAGCATTCCGTAAAAAGCAAGTAAATATGAAAATCAGTATAAACTTGCATTAATGCTAACTGTGTTGGTTGTGACCAATGTACCATATTAATATGGGATGCTGATAACGGGAGAAACTGCCTGCAGAGTATAAGCACAATGTACTGGTAACGTTATAAACCTGAACCTTCTACAATGTGAAGTTCCTCTTTTTAAAACAGCAATTCAGCCCCTGTTCCTGAGATCCTTGAATCAAGAAGGTCTCTCAATAATGTTTGTATATAAAGCATATTCTCAGGTCACACCCAGGACTATGAAGTCGGGATGGGGGTTCCGAGGTGAAATCTACATTTTAACAAGCAAAACTGGTAATTGTTATGCACCCTAAAAGTGGTAAGCCAATGTTTCCTCCTCCTCAAATACAAAAGCAGCCACCAATAAGCAACAGTGCCTCTGGTCCTTCCAGTCCAAGGGCTCTCGACCATCTATGGGTAACACAGTTCCCTCAATGGTTTAAAAACAAAAACCTAGACCTTCAGTTGACACTATTATAGTCTATATGAATTAAAAAAAAAAAAAAATCACTAGTCCCAGGAAGTTTCAGAACTCTTATCTTCCCAAGAAGGTCCTACTGCACCAGTCCTGCCGTCAACAAAAAAGGAAGAGGCGCTCACCTTCAGGAAGCGCCCAACAGCTTCCCGGTGCTAGGGCCCCGACTCCCGACACCTCCCTTTCAAAAAAGGAAGCACCATGGCCAAAGCATCCCACCGGGGCCGCCTCTCCGCGGCTCCCGGGGTGCGCGCTCCGAGGACGGGGGGCGCCCCGGCCAGGCTCTCCAGGACGAGGGTTCGAGCCCTGGTCTGGCCACTCACTACACCTGTCACCTTCTCGGCGGCTCTCCCAAGCCTCGTCTGCTAAACCTAAGCGTCTCTATAAGTTCATTTTACACCGGCAACCGCCGGTCCCAGCCCCCAACGGCTCGCCAGACCCGCGATCGAGGGGCGCAGAGGAAGCCGGACTGCGACTGGAGGGCGCAGAGACCCGGGGCTGCGCCGCGGTGGCTTGTGGGGCGGGACGGGGCGGACCCCGGCGCCCACCGCGCCCCCGCCGCCAGCTGCTCACCCCGCCGCCGCTGACCGCGCCGATGCCGTCGAACTCCCGGCCCAGCCCGTCGGAGTCGTCGAGCACGTACGTGCCGCCGGGAGCCAGCAGCGCGCACAGCAGCAGGGGCACCGCGGCGCGGCCCGCCGAACCCGCGGCGGCCGTCATGGCTTTCATTCGGCGTTGCTGGGAAGCCAGGACTAGGCGCTCAGCCATTGTGTGGGTCACATGACTCCGGCGCCCAGGGAGGCGGGTCCGGTGGCTGCCATGATGGAGAAGGGCAGGAGGCCGCTGATGCCTCCGCCGCCATCTTGAGTGCGGGTCACAGGTCGCCCTCGCACCTGCCCTGGTAGGCTGTCCTGGCAGAGCGAGCCTAGTCTGGCGCCCCGAGTCAGCTCTGGCACGGGCCAGGGGCTTGGCTTCGGTGCTCTTTGATGGAGCACTTGAGGTAAGGGGGGAGTGGGTTTCCAAGCAGGTGCCAAGGGAACAGAGCAAGTGTTTGGACGACCAGGACCTTCCCTAACATATCACGGGAAGGTGATAATATTTGTGTGGCAGAGCAAAGGAGAGGACCTGCTGCGGCCACCAGACCTCAGTCTGGTTTCACCGACTCACTTAGCCTTCATCATATGTCATGGGAGATTTAGGATTAAATGAAAACAAAGTACAGTAGCAGTACCCTTAGCCGAATGCACGATCCTTGGGACAGACATTAGCTCAAGTGTTTCTCCATTCGTAATACTTAGATAGTAGCTTCATGAAGTATCTTTCCCGGACAGTGAAATGGTTCCAAGCAGAAAACCCGAACTGGTAGGAACGTTGTGAATTCCAAATCCCTGGGGTTTGACACATGCAACATTGCTCTGAGATTTCTAATCTCCTTGTCTTTGGAGCAAATTGAAGCGACTCCGAAATTGCAGATCAAGCAATTTTGATTACCCAAGGTGAACTATCAGAGCTGAGGAATGTGTTATCAGTATCTGCACAGGCCTTGGAGACACCCAGGTGGCAAAGAGAAGACCCAGAGACTATAGGATATGTGAGCCTTCGTCTTCATGGTCCTATTTGGAATCAGATTATTTTGTTCAGATTGTTTTAGAGCCACAGTTGTACTAGGAGGGAGCATTCTCTCTGGGTGGTATCATTAACATGCTCATCTGGCCCCTTTGATATCCCTGGGTATTTAATTAGTAACTATGCTTACCTTGCCCTTTCTCTCTTTAAGTTAATATTGGTCTACTTTGATTTACCTGATGTCTATTGTCTCAACATAATTAGTAATAGTACCCTTTTACCCTCAAAGAGTTTTGGTTTACATGATAAGTAATATCACCTATTATGTGGGTCAGTTGTTTTCTTTCGTTTCTTTTCCCAGTACAGCATATACCAGAACTCTCTACCCTCCCTAACACCATTATTCTATAATAAAAGTCAGTAACTAGGGCCCTCCCTGGTGGCGCAAGGGGTTAAAGCGCAGCACTAGAAGCTATCCAAAGACACTGATGGGCAAGTTCTATCTCTGGTCAGGGAGCTGACCCACAAGAGGCAGCAGACCTCTCCTGTCTGGCCCACTGCTCCCCTCAGCAGTGTATTTCAGTCAGTCTGCCTGTTCTGCTCCCCACCCTGTCTCTGATGAATCCTCTCAAACACTCCCCCCCCCCACTACCACATCTCTGCCCCATACCCCAGTTCTGTAAGCATAAATAAATAAATCTTTAAAAAAATTTTTTTAGGCCCTCCATGGTGGTGCAGCGGGTTAAAGCACAGCACAAAGAAGCTTAAGCCACTTCCACATGAGTTCCATCCCTGCCTGCCCTGGAGGAGATCCACATGGTGCGGCAGACCTCTCCTGACCTGCCCGCTGCTCCCCTCAGCAGTGTACTTCGTCGATCTGCCTGTTCTGTACCCCACTCTGTCTCTGGTGAATTCTCTCAGCCTCCGCATCTCTGGCCTGTACCCCTGTACGAATAAATAAAGCTTAAAAAAAATTTTAAGTAACTAGCCAAGACCCATGAATTTGCCTTTCTTAAACTGACTGCTCCATTCTAACACAATTTTTTAATTATGAGCTGGCTACCAGTAAATACCTAGTAATGTGAAGCTTCCTACCAACCCCGAGATTTATAACTGTGATAAACATATAGCAAATCTTTAAAAAGTGACTAAGAGGGAGTCTGAAGGCAATGATATGGGAAAGAGCCACGCACATGAGATTTGCATTCAAACCCGGTGTCTGTCATCCTGCAGTTCATCTTTCAATGCACCTAGCATGTGTAGGGTGTGGCATAAATATTTGTGCAATGTGTGAAACTGTAAGAGGAAACAGAATAACAGAAAAAGTAACCACACCTCTATGACAGACCACTAGTTCTTATCTGTTAAGTTACCTTGCCAGAAAAAATTACGTCTGTGGTTTTAATTTTCTAATCTATACTTAGAAACCATTAGACAAGAAAGTTCCAAATAAATCTATAATACATGCTACAAAGCAAGATCACCTGGGCTGGGACACTGTAGTCTAGTTTGCTCCAGAGGTGAGGTGAAGGGAAATGGCAGTTGTCAAAGCAGCAACAGGGGTGATTTCTGCACCCCTGAGATCAGATGAAAGAACACCTCTAAATTTCATATTTTAGAAGATTTTTAAAAGTAAGGGGTAGTTTTTCTCTTAAATAACAGTTTATCAGTTATCACGTTATCACTCTCTCAAAAGCTCTAGTTTTTCTGAAGTGAAAAAATATCACAGATGATCCCTTGAGAAAGACGAAATACTTGCTCTTGAATGAAAAGTTGTTGGTAAAATCTGACACCACCATATTGCCTCACACTAGGAAATGCTTTTCCTTTCAGAAATCTGAATCAGGTTACCAGAAACCAAGTCACTTTCTACCTGAAGTGCCATGCGCATCCATGGTAGGTATTCAGTATATGTTCATTGGATTGAACTTTTTTTTTTTTAAAGATTTATTTATTTGTACATACAGAACTGGGGTACAGGCCAGAGGCTCAGGGGCGGTGAGAGGCTTCACCAGAGACAGA